GCCTCTGCCTAGGGGGCAGCTGACATCATTCTCCTCTCCCAACTGAAAATTCCAACTGCCTTGTGGGGGGGTGAGTTTGAGGTGTGGAATGGAGTGTAGTCCAATCAGCTTCCATATGTAAATGACCTTGGAACGCTGGCCGGGACTGCACAAAGCAGCCAATGAACCCAGCCAGTGTCTTCCGAGTGGCAGTTTTTTCGGCCTAACACTAAAGGGGCCAATTTTAGAATTCTGGCACACACTACTCTTTTATAATAAGGGAGAGATGCATGGGATAGAGCAGGTTGAGAAAGAAGTACTTTTCTCCCTTACATGGTATAGGTTTACGAAATTATGCATGGGATAGGGAAGGTCAAGAAAGAAGTACTTTTCTCCCTTTCTCACAATACAAGAACTCGTGGGCACCCAATGCAATTAATGAGCAATAGAACAAGTAAAAGGAAGTACTTTACCCAAAGAGTAATTAACATGTGGAATTCATTGCTATAGGAAGTGGTAGCAGCTACAAGCATAGACAGCTTCAAGAGGGGATTGGATAAACATATGGAACAGAGGTCCATCAGTGGCTATAAGCCACAAAGTACAGATGGAATACTATGTCTGGGGCAGTGATGCTCTGTAATCTCGGTGCTTGGGGAGCAACCTACCTTGCAGGATGGTTTTTGAGGATAAAATGGAGGAAGAAAGTAAAATGCTGAAGACTAGCTGGCCATCTTATTTTTGGCCACTGTGTGACAGAGTGTTGGACTGGGTGGGCCATTGGCCTGATCCAACATTGGCTTCTCTTATGTTCTTATGTTCTGTTAATAAGATTTCAAGGCTATCATCTTTCAAAAGTCAATGTTCCCTTCATCAGTCACCAAAAAGGGAGCTTCGACTCTTGAAAGTTCCTACCCTGAAAATCTTGTTGGTAAGTTTGCTTTTAAAGGTGAGTGAAAAATCTACTACTCCCGGAGATCTTGCGTGCTGTTAGAATTGCAATCTGAGCAACCTAACCAGAATAACCACCTGAAAGGCTAGTGCGGTGGAATCCATCCATGAACACAATAGCAGAGTTATTCATTAATCAAGTTGCCTGAGAATTCTTCTCTGAGTAGAGGTATTGGCCTAACAGGTATGCCATTCATTAATCAAGTTGCCTGAGAATTCTTAGCGTAACAGGTATGACAAATGTTTTGTGTGTGTGAAATGCACAGGAAGAATACCTGTGTAGGGGAAACAGAAGGAAACTTGCATAGTTTTGCACTCTTCTTTCATACAGAGCACATTATTCACAAGTTTGATACAAGATGGAGCTTCTCTGTACCTCTGGAATAGAGGGAACCCTGGAGACTGTGGCTCTCAGCATGGGAATAGGTCTTTGGGTGACAGCAGGCCCCTGGAGTGGGCGGTGAGAAGGCAGTTAAATAATTTTTATGTTGGTGGTCTCTTCTTATTGAGAAAATGGGTGTTTCGTTTGGAGATTATCGCCCACAGATCTTAGCATGAGAAACACATCATACAGAGAGAGATACCAAACAGCTTTGGCTGGCCTCTGACCGTGCTTCTCTAACATTAGGTAGCTAATGAGCATACCTAGCTTAGCAACACTTGTTCAAGGAGGCATCACTTTCACGGGAGGGGGTAGCTGCTGTCAGTCCATTGTGACACATACCTTGGCAACACAGAGACTAAAGTAATGGGCCAGGCCCTCACTCTCGAGGGACCGTTGCAGGAGACTGGAGGCCTTCGCATCTCTGGAACTCTGCCGCGATGAGTCCGCCATCGCCAACCACAGGGGCTGTCCCCCATAAGACTGAGATCTCCACCATCGGTAAAGTAGCCGCTCACATCCCTGACCTTATCGTGTTTGGTGACCTCTCCCAGGAGATACCATCCATTGAAAATTTCGATGGCGTCCTGCTCTTTATCGACATCTCAGGTAGGCAAAGCTCAGTAGGCAATGACCGAGGGTGTGTGTGTGTGTTAAGGATATGTGTTGGTTTTAAAAGTACTTTCTCGGCCTGAATCCCTACAGAGCTGCTGCCAGTCAGTCGGCAAAATGACATATAAATCCAAAGTCAAAATTCAGTCAATAAGATGTCCATTCCAAACGCATAGTGGACATATTCCTGCCTGTCTGGGCAACCTCAGCATCCGGGGGGGAAGAAAGAGGGTTAATGCACATACCGCAGTGACACAAAAACACATATTGGCGCCCAGACCTGGATAGCCCAGGCGAGCCCGCTCTCCTCAGATCACGGAAGCTAAGCAGGGTCGACTCTGGCAGGTACTTGGATGGGAGACCTCCTCGGAATACCATAGGTGGGAGGTGGGGGCAGGCTTTATTCAGCCGCCTCTCTGAATATCCTCCAGACCCCCAATAGGGGTGAGTCACCAGAGGTCACTATGACTTCCAGATGTGCACACGCACATAAAGGTATTGCATGTTATTTTTATTGATGGAATGCCAAGTTTTGCCATGTTGGTCAGAATGTGGCATTTCTTTCGTGTACATTTCTTCTTCTTTTTTAAAATATTTATTAAGAAGAATAAAGCAACATAACAACATATTCAAACATGTCAAAAGAACCAACCATTACAGTAAGTGATTAACCGAAGAGAAACTTAGAAACACAAACAAACCCAACCCGTCTACGTAATAATAAACCTTAATCGCCATCCTTTAGCCTGTATACTGATGAGTGGTGCGAATAAAACCGGCTTCTTGAAAAGTGATCAAGCTAATGTGTTGTATCCTACACGCTTGAACGTGTACATTTCTGATGTAGTCTAAATTGCACTGTATCAATTTGCTACTTTTCAATCTACAGTATTTACTTAAACGCCAGCGAAGGGTAGTCCCCCCCCCCATGCCATCTTGTTATCTTAAATCCACATACAAGTTACATTTGTATCTAATAATTCTTTTTAAAAAGTGTATAAGTTTTTTTAAGGGGGGGGTTATCTGACATTCAGCGTCACCTTCCTTTCTACTAAATATGGTAATAACTTTCAGGATGGAAATTGCCCCCCTGTAGACGCCTCAGGCAATAAGCAGTATGTTGCTGTTCTGACGGACAGAATCCCCAGGCCAAAAGGGGGGGGGGGTAAAATGCCAGATTCGATTCAACCGGCTTTTTGTTCAGTTTCTCCCAGGGCTTTTTTAATAGAAAAAGCCCAGCAGGAACTCATTAGCATAATAGGCCACACCCAGCAGCAGAAACTCATTAGCATATTAGGTCACACCCCTGACAGCACAGCTCATTGGCATATTAGTCCACACCCCCATGTTACCAGAAGTGTGCTCATCCAGCCACACCCACCTTTTGCTTCTTATCCTGTTTACCTTGTTTGTTGTCAAAACCCAGGGCTTTTTTGTAGCAGGAACTCCTTTGCATGTTAGGCCACACACCCCTAATGTAGCCAATCCGAACGAGTTTCTGGAGTTGGGTGTGGCCTATTATGCTAATGAGTTCCTGCTGGGCGTGGCCAACTTGGGAGCCAGCCAGAACTCTGTTCCTGTGTGTTCCTGCCCAAAAATAACCCTGGTTTCTCCTAACTCCCTTCTCCCTATAGCCACCTTCCCATATGGCTTTTATTCACATGGGTTCCCTGATCCACAGTGTAACTTTTGCATCGTCAAAAGGGATCCCCTCCTGCCTCTTTCATCAATGGGAAAGCTAATAAGGTACAGGCCAAGATCTGTCAGACATCTTATCCAAGACTGTTGTCACATACACACAGGAAACACAGTCACTGGATCCAACAACGTCAACTACAACATCTCAGGCACATTCACTTGCTCCTCTTCTAACATCGTATATGCTATTAAATGTCAACATCGCCCTTCGACTCTCTACATAGGACAAACAGGACCAACCGTACGCCAAAGGATAAATGGACACAAATCTGACATCAGGAATCACAAGACTGAGCAACCTGTAGAAAGGGAAACACTTCAGCCTTCCAGGACATTCAATGGCTGACCTCAAAGTAGCTGTTTTATTGCAAAGGAACTTCAGGAACAGAATGGAAAGGGAAATTGATGAATTATAAGTTATTACAACACTCAGAACAAACACCCCTCCAGGACTTAACAGGGATATTGGTTTCTTATCCCATTACATATGCTAACTCGTTCAATCCTCACATATACATTCTCCCCAAGAAGGGCTATACATTCCCTATATTTTAATGTGAGTTTTTTAAAAAATAGTATATTATTATAGTGATTGTAATGCAATGCGATATTTTGTTGATCTCTAAACAGATGACAACCAGAAACCAAGCTTGTCATTTTTTTTATCTGTTAAAAAAAACCCTCACTATTTTGCATGTTAATTTAACAAGCCACCATCTATATATACAACTATGATCTATAATTCCACTTCATTGTCTGATGAACTGTACATGCACACGAAAGCTCACGCCTTGAATAAAACTGTTGGTCTTAAAGGTGTCACTTGACTCTAACTTTGTTCTATAGTAAACCTCCCAGCCACCTTTTCCCATTTTCCAAACTTCTGTTGCACAATTCATGCATCCTACTGTGAATGACAAATGTTTATGTCCCTTAAAGGTTTCACAGCATTGACGGAGACCTTCAGCTTGAGCTCAAGCTTAGACTATGGGGCTGACCAGCTCACCCAGACGCTCAATCAATATGTGGGTAACATTGTGGAGGGTGAGTATGGCAGCAGTGAAGATAATCTGTCGCAAGAAGAATGACCTATCTCCCCTCTTCATAGCTTTGCTAGAAGTCAAGGGCTTTGCTTGTCCAGACAAACAGCTTCCAAATGCACAGTTATTGCTCATTGGCTGTTTAGTTTCTGATACTGAATTTTACCATGTGCTCAAATAGCAATACATTGTTGTTGGGAAAACACCCCAGCTAGTAAAGTCATCGATTACATTTTTGTCCTCCCTCTCTCCTTTCTTTTATCCTCACAACAGACCCGTGGGATAGTTTAGGCCAAAATATGACTGCGAGATTACTGTTGCCAGTTTGGTGTAGTGGTTAGGAGCGCAGACTCTAATCTGGGAGAACTGGGTTTGATTCCCCACTCCTCCACATGCAGCTGCTGGTGTGACCTTGGGTCAGTCACAAGTTCTCTCAGAGCTGTTCACTCAAGAGCAGTCCACGAAAGAGCTCTCGCGGCACCACCTACCTCACAGGGGGTCTGTTGAGGGGAGGGGAAGGGAAAGGAGATAGTAAGCTGCTCTGAGACTCCTTCGGGTAGTGAAAGGCGGGATATAAATCCAATCTCCTCCTCCTCCTTCTTTTTCTTCTTTGAAATTCCTGGAGATTTGGGGGTGAAGCCAGGGGGAGGGCCTGGGTTAGGGGAGGGGAGGGACCTCGGTGGAGTACAATGCCACAAAGTCCACCCTCCAAAGCAGCCATTTTCTCCAGGTGAAACTGATCTCTGTGATCTGAAGATCAGTTGTAATGCCAGATGTCCAGGACTCACATGGAATTTTGCAAACTGACGGGAGATGCACAGAACTGATCACCTAGGTAACCTCAGTGAAACCTGAAAGGATCATATCTAGGGATGTAGGGTTGCCAAGTCGAAAATCGTCGGGAGCAGGGGACTCCCGTCCTGTGTCCTATGCGCGTGCAAGAGGGAAACATAGAGTTTCCCCCTCGGATGGTCATGGCCCCGCCCCCAGCGTGCCCGGTTTCATAACGTCACTTCCTGGTGACACGCACGACGGGGATGCGTTCCCCCCGGGGCCTGATCCGCCGGCAGCAGGGAACAGGTCTCTGGGGAGGGGTTTTCCCCGCCGCCCCGGGGGGACTTGGCAGCCCTATAGGGATGCCAGTCTCCAAGGTGGGACCTGGGGATCCTCCGGAATTATAGCTCATCTCCAGACCACAGAGATCAGTTTTCTGGCAAACCCCCCCCAACCCCTGCAGGTGGTAGGCTCACCATTCCCCCCACTGGGAATGCCCACTTTCAGGGGCCCCGATCCTCCAGCCCGGATCTAGCCAGCAGAAGGGGAACCCCCCCCCCAAGTACTGCATTCACACCAACATGCCCAGGACCATGATGTCACCTGGAGGTGATGTCATCGTGCCGGGCACATTGCAGGAGGGCACCCAATTGTCCGGGAGCGAGAGAAGAACCTCCCTGCCAGCAGCCAGGTAAGGTCTGGCAACCCGAGCCGGTGGCCGGGGGGGACCTGGCAACCCTAATCACATCTCAGTGGCAGAGTTAATTCTATGAATGCAGAAAGCTCCAGTTCAACCCCTGGTATTATCAGACAAAGTATCTCAGGCAGCAGGACTGGGATAAATTGCTGCTTAAGAGTTTCAGGAGCTTCCACTTGTCCTAGGAGACAGAGGCTGAAGTCCTAAAAACACTTTCCTGGGAGTAAGTTCCATTAATTGAAATGGGGGGTTCTTCTGAGTAGACCTGTTTAAAATTGCTACTAAAGTCAGAGGGACCAAAGTCTAGACTGTAAAAGGCAGTGGAAGTCCTAAGAGTGGCCATCAGTCTTCACAGAGGTCCATTCTGCATCTGGCATTTGCTCCACTTTTTCTCAGCACTCAACCTGGTTCCCCCTTGCCTCGGACAATCTGTTTTCACTGCATTGCCTCGGATCCTGGTTTCTGCATTGGCTAGTGACAGCTTGCAATCTGTTTTGTTTTCAATGCTCCCTTCTGCATTGGCATGCAGATTTTCCTGTGTCAGTACTTGCCTCAGCGGTCATTAGCCACCTGAGCCAAGTAATTCGTAGCGAGGTGATACATACAGAGGGGTGAATAGGGGTGGGGGAACTGATGGAGATCAATGAAGCTTTGCCAAGTTGTCTGCTTAATGTTCCCTTCAAATCGGAAGTGGTGGAAGGAAAAGTTGACGCTCAAAACCACATTCATATTCTCCTGGGCAGCACCGTACTGCTGCGAAGTCACCCCTGCCATAAATCTGTGCAGAGGGTACCATAAAACCCGATGAACAAAGAAAGGGAAAGCAGCACACAGTATAGAGGGAGATTAACCTCCCAATGTGGCTGTGGAATAACTGAGAGGAAATAGATGGGTGCAGAATCAGCCAGAGCTAAGAAGACGAGTATACCCATAGCTGTGCCTCAGTCTTAATTTCAGTTTGTACCAGTTTGAAAATACCATGACATCCTCCAAAGAATCCTGGGAACTGTAGTTTTGTTTTCTTTATTTTAACATTGAGAAGAATTTCACCGTCGCCCAGAAATTCTTCCATGGAGAAAAAGAATGACTGTTAAACAATTTTAGATGTTTCCCATCTACCTTGTTAATGCAAAATAGTCATTGCCAATGAGTTCTGACTCAAGGAATTCTGGTTCCAAGAACCACTGACTTATGTGAAGCTTGTGTGCTGGTGTGTGTCATTTTGGTTGTCTCAATATGAGATTTTACACGGCTTACAAAATGTCATTGTAAATTTCTCCCCAATCCAGTGCAAATTTATTTATTCCCTGTGCTTTTTCCTCTCGCTTTCTTTTATCAACAGAGGTGCTGATTTTTGGAGGCGACATACTGAAATTTGCAGGTACAGATTGCAGAGAAAGATGTTTAAATTTTTTTGGAGAGCATAGGATATGAATCTTGTAAATAAATATCAATCAATCAATAATTCATTATTAACCAGTTTGGGGAATAATAGCCTGTTTGAGTCTGAAAAGGGAGTCTAGTAACTTTCATCTGACTATCAAATAGGTTAAAACTGTACGTACGCCAAATACCAGCACTTTAAGCTACAGATGCCGAAAGTAATTGATTAGCATTATGCAAATACTCTGTTTCAGGACTGTTAGCTTTTCCCCCTGGGGCAGAGACCAAAGATGTTTTGTTTGAACATTTTCACACTGCTCAAGGAATGTCAGCTTTACAGTGGTTTAGAAATTGTACAAGGCAGGAGTCTCTAACCTTTTTGAGCCTGTGGGCACATCTGGAATTCTAACACGGTATGGTGGGCGCTGCAACAAGATGGCTGCTACAGAGACCCAGTTTGGTGTAGTGGTTAAGTGCGCGGACTCTAATCTGGGAGAACCGGGTTTGATTCCCCACTCCTCCACTTGCACCTGGCTGGATGACCTTGGGCAAGCCATAGTTCTGTCAGAGCTGTTCTCTCAGGGGCAGTTCTGGAAGGAGCTCACTCAGCCCCACCTACCTCACAGGGTGTCTGTTGTGGGGAGGGGAAGGGAAAGGAGTTTGTAAGCCGCTCTGAGACACCTTTGGGGAGTGAAGGGCGGGGGATAAATCCAATCTCCTTCTCCTCCTCCTCTTCTTCTACAGGAAGCAGAGCCAGCCACAAAATGGCGGCCACAGCTTAACTTCAGTAACACAGTAATGTATAGATCCTTGTGCTGTGGTGGCAGCTGCTACCAAAGCAACATTTTAATAACTCTGCACAGCCAATCAAATCTCCAATAGTCCATCAAAAGCCTTGCTGGGCAAAATCCCTACCTGGCCCTTCCCACTTCCTGAAAATACTTGGAGGGCACCAGAGAAGGTGTCCGTGGGCGCCAGGGTGCCCACGGGCACCATATTGGGGGTTCCTGGTATAAGCGGGCAAATGAGTCCAGTCTTTTTTTCCCGTTCTCCGAAGGTGATGCGTTGCTGGCCCTCTGGAGGGTGGAGCGTGTGCATATAGACGACATCATCACTCTGGCGCTGAAGTGCAGCATGAGCATCCAGGAAGACTACGGAGTTCACGAGACAGACGTGGGGCTGACGATGCGAGTGAAGATAGGTACTGTCTCCCCTCCTTGGGCTTGTCGTAAGATGGCTGTCACCCAGGAGGGGGGGGGAATAGAAGCTGGCAAGACTGTTTGGGGTTCTTTGTTCTTAGGCCCTTTTATGATCCAGCGGATGACACAGATGCCCATCCACAGGAGCAGCCCTTGTTTTGATTCGCAGACTCTGTTGGCTCTTGAAATTGATGATGCAGACCAAGTACGAGGCTTTTCCTTCCATAACAGGGCTGCCAATTCCAGTTCTGGAAATCCCTGGAGATTTGGGGGCGATGCAAGGGGAAGCAGGACTTTGAGGAAGGGAGGGCGCATAGCGTGGATGTAATGCCACAAGTCCACCTTCCAAAGTTGCCGTCTCCTCCGGGGGTACTGATCTATGTAGTTGGGAGATGAGTTGGAATTCCAGGAGAACTCCAGGCCCCACCTTGAGGTTGGGAACCCTGTTCTAGAGGCATTGGGCTGAAGGAGCAGCTCAGAAGCTGCCTGATGAAGAAATTGGAAGAAGCTGAAAAGTCTCGTGTCCTCATTGGTGTCTCCTGATAATAACCAGTGGCGACGTTCAGACGCTGTGAGAAAATGTGGCTGAATTAAACAAGGCTGCTCCACTAACTATGGTTAATTTGAGTCTGTGGAGCCAGGGTTTGAAGCTGGTTTGTTAACTAACCTTAACTATGGTTTCGTGTACCATATGCATGCGGTGTCCTGATCTGGTCCCTGGTAACCCCCAATGAAACCACCGTATGTCCAGGCAAACCAGGACCTGAGTGATGGTCTGTAATCTGGATTCTGGTTTCACAAGTTAACCGTAGTTAAAACGGATACAGGTGGTCAGCTGTATTAGTCTGAAGCAGTAGAACAAATTTAGAGTCCCGTGGCACCTTTAAGACCAACAAAGGTTTTTTCAAGGTATGAGCTTTTGTGTGCAAGGCACACTTTTTCAAATACAATGGGATGGTAGGTGAGGTTCATATACAGACAGGGACTTAACAGCAAATTGTTACATGTTAATTTGCGGGTAAGTCCCTGTCTATAAATTTGAACCTTGAAAAGTACGGAGACTGACGAGTGAAAACAGCTCTCATACTTTATTTGTGGATCAGGAACGAGACAACTTGCTCGGCTCGCAGGCCAGCTGATATGGGTCCGGACACCCACACCCCAAACACACCCCACTCCCTGTATTGGCTATTTACAGTGGCCGAGAGTTCCATAGGCTCTCGGGCGGGAACCTAGCCCCCCTATTGGTGCGGTCTAGGATCCGCAGAGTTAATTGTCTTTGGAAGTGAAGCTCGATGGCTTCTGAGGACCATGTGGAGCCCTTGCCTCGCACGCCGTCTGGAATGAGTACATTACAAACCTTATGTACTAGTCCAATGTATTTGAAAAAGTGTGCCTTGCACACAAAAGCTCATACCTTGAAAAGCTCATGCCTATTAGCCACAAGGTATAGATAGGGACTCTGGGGCAAGTGATGCTCTGTCATCTTGGTGCTTGGGGAGGTCAACAGTGGGAGGGCTTCTAATGTCCTGGCCCCACTGGTGGACCTCCTGATGGCACTGGTATTTCTGGCCACTGTGTGATACAGAGTGTTGGGCTGGATGGGCCTTTGGCCTGATCCAACATTGGTGTCTCTTATGTTCTTATGTTCTAAACCTTTGTTGGTCTTAAAGGTGCCACCGGACTCTAAATTGGTTCGTAGTTAAAACGAATCATGATTTCATGGGAAGCCTGAACTGAGCCTGTTGCTCCTTCTAATAGCAAATTATGGTTGGGAGCCTATCAGTAACCCAGCAAACTGGGGCCATCCACAGTTCCTGTAAGCTTGAGGGATTTCCCAAGTATGCAGGAAAATTACTTTTTAAATTAAAAAAGAGAAGTCCCCCTCCTGACCCACTCTGAACACACACCAACTGAACCTTTTCTAGAAGCACAGAATGCTGAGGGTGGTTGTGCATGAATTAAAGGGGAGGAAGAAAACAAGAAAAGGATGTTCTGTTTCAGTCACTAAGAGTTTATAGCCCAGGGTGTGGTTTGAAGGCACATGATTCTGCAACCTTTTAAGAATTGGTTCGTTTCCACAATTAATATGGTCCGTTTGGTGTAGTGGTTAAGAGTGGCGGACTCCAATCTCGAAGAACCGGGTTTGATTCCCTACTCTGCCTCATGCAGCCACCTGGGTGACCTTGGGTCAGTCACAGTTCTCTCAGAGCTGTTCACTCAAGAGCAATTCTCTCAGAGCTCTCTCAGCCCCACCTACCTCACAGGGTGTCTGTTTGTCTGTTTGTTTGTTTATTTGGTTCAATTTCTATCCTGCCATTCCTGCAAGCGGGCTCAGGGTGGGTACAACATTAATATAAAACAAAAAATCAAGATTAAAACTATAAACTTAACCCTTAAGTGATGGCGATCAAACTACTCGAATGATAAAAGGGTTGGAACACTTTCCCTATGAGGAAAGGTTAAGGCGCTTAGGGTTCTTTAGCTTGGAGAAACGACGACTGAGGGGTGACATGATTGAGGTTTATAAGATTATGCATGGGAAAGAGCAGGTAGAGAAAGAGGTACTTTTCTCCCTTTCTCACAATACAAGAACTCGTGGGCACTCCATGAAATTGCTGAGCGGTCGGGTTAGAACGGATAAAAGGAAGTACTTCTTCACCCAAAGGGTGATTAACACTTGGAATTCACTGCCACAGGAAGTGGTGGCGGCTACAAGCATGGACGGCTTCAAAAGGGAATTAGATAAGCATATGGAGCAGAGGTCCATCAGTGGCTATTAGCCACAAGGTATAGATAGGGACTCTGGGGCAAGTGATGCTCTGTCTTCTTGGTGCTTGGGGGGGGTTCAACAGTGGGAGGGCTTCTAATGTCCTGGCCCCACTGGTGGACCTCTTGATGGCATTGGTATTTCTGGCCACTGTGTGATACAGAGTGTTGGACTGGATGGGCCTTTGGCCTGATCCAAGATTGGCATCTCTTATGTTGATGGCGATCAAACTACATCACAACTATTACAGTGGTGCCCTGGTATTAGACAATTAAAGGCAGAAAGGGCTAGATCCTCTAAGGGATTCCAAATCATGAGTACCCTACCTTGGGTAAACCAAGGCGGTTATCATTCTGTGTCCTCAAAAATTGAAGGCCATGGTACAGATGGTAACAGAGAGGTAACAGGACAGTAACTGGAGGGGCCAGTTGATGTTTGACATCTGCTGTCTCCCCTAAAAGTCTGGCAGAAGAGCTCTGTCTGACAGTCCCTGCAGATTGGTAAAAGGTCCTGCAGGGCCCTAGTCTCTAGTGGGAGCTCATTCCACCAGGTTGGGGACAGGGCCCTGGTCAAGGTCAGATGGATGTCTTTGGGGCCAGGAATCACCAGTAAGTGTTGATCTAATGAGTGCAAGGCTCAATGTGGCACATATGGGGAGAGGTGGGTCCAGTAATATGTTGATCCCTGGCCGCTTAAGGCCTTAAAGGCAGGGCTATTTTGGGGCAGGAACACAGAGGAACAGAGTTCCAGCTGGCTCCCGGGTTAACCACGCCCAGCAGGAACTCATTAGTATAATAGGCCACACCCAACAGCAGAAACTCATTAGGATTGGTTACATTAGGGGTGTGTGGCCTAACATGCAAAGGAGTTCCTGCTACAAAAAAAGCCCTGGGTTTGGACAACAAACAAGGTAAACAGGATAAAAGGTGGGTGTGGCTGGATAACCACACTTCTGGTAACACGGGGGGTGCGGCCTAATGTGCTAATGAGCTGTGCTGTCAGGGTTGTGGCCTAATAGGCTAATGTGTTTCTGCTGTTGGGTGTGGCCTATTATGCTAATGAGTTCCTGCTGGGCTTTTTCTACAAAAAGAGCCCTGCTTAAAGGTAAGTACCCACACCTTGAAACAGACCCAGGGAGAGGAAGGGAAGGAGATTGTAAGCTGCTCTGAGACTCTGAGTGAAGGGCGGGCTATAAATCCAACTCTTCTTCTTCTTTGTCTTGCTAGGACTATCTGCAGGCCACATCTCAAAAGTTATTGTTGGAAACAACAAGCATCAACATTTTGTGGTAATTGGCCGGGCAGTGGACGAGGTGCGACTGGCTCAGAACCTAGCAAAAGCTGGTGAAATCATTCTGTCACCCAATTGTTGGGAGCTCTGTTACCGGAAATTGATCGTGGTAGAAAAGATCCCAGATGAACGAGCTGTCAAGGTGAGCATGCGCAGAGCTGGGCTGTCATGAGAAACAGCTTCTGCTGGGGACGCTGTTTTGTTTCTATATCAAAAGTTTAGAAGGGTGCAGTAGATTCTGTGGTAAGAATAAAGCTAAGTTCAAAGCTAATTGCAAAATAAAAACTCCATAAGTCCCAAATCAGTACAGGAATGCTGGAAATATTATTTTATACTTAACAATATTTCTATAATTTTTTTTAATTAACAGCAAAAATAAGGTAGACTTGTACAAAGAATGTAAGGTTTTTTCTGCATGTGTTATTTCATCAGTTGTGTGCCTGTACTGCATCTTTTTTTTTCTTTACCGCCTGTGTTTTGCTCCTTCTAGAGGTCCCTTCTGTCTTTTTTAGTGGTTTCTCCAGGTTTTTTTATGAGCACTTTTAAAGTGCTACTTAGGGGGGGGAATGGAGAAACCGCTATGAAAGCAACCACTAGAGGGAGCAAAAGTGCTCCTTTTAAAAAGTGCTACTTGGGGGGGGGATGGAGAAACCGCTATGAAAGCAACCACTAGAGGGAGCAAAAGTGCTCCTTTAAAAAAGGAAAAAGTGCTATGAAAGATTGAAGCAACCACTAGAGGGAGCAAGACATGTGTGGCCACACAACTGACAGAAATAACACAGGGGGGGAAACCCCATGTCGGAAGCATTCAGACCAAGAAATAAGAGAATCTTTGCTTGGCATCTAAATAATACCAACAGAGGTAGTAGATAGACCTCTCGCGCGGGGGGCGGGTTGTGATGGTTTGCCTTCTCTGCAGTTGTTGTTGGTGCTGTTGAATGGCTGGCTTGCCCAGATGGGACATGGCAGACTGCCACATGGCAGGGGAGGCAAAAGACTGTGGTGGTAAGAGAGTGACTTCCCAAGCTCTTGCCTCTCCGGCTGTGGGAGCCATTGTGGGTTGATGGGCCAAGAAGCCCAAGCTCAGATAAGATATCCAGGAGGGATGACATGGATGGAGACAAGTAGGTTGACTGGGATGCCAGTCTAGGAAAATCTTTTAGGTAGCCTGGCTCACAGACACATTTGTTGCCAGATTGTGGTGTAGATCTCCCTCCTTTGACAGCTACTCTGCAGCGCAGTGAAGAAGATCTGTCTGTGTAACCTCCTAAACTGCGTTGCCCAGAAGACACCCTTGGGACATTGTGCCTCTAAGGCAAGGGGAAATGGCTGCTAGGGTCCCTTTCTGGGTTTTGGAAACAGGGTTGCCAACCTCCAGGTCATACTTACCATCATATCTTCATATTTACCATTATATCTTGGTCTTCATACTTTGGGCTGGGAGCAGACAGTCTCGGGTATCTTATAACTTTTGTATAACGTGACTACTTGCACTGCTACCTTCTAACTTAATTGCGAGTAATCACGAGTATTTAGATTACTTGCTGTAAACTCAGAACATTGTGACCTTGATCTTCATACTTTACTGTTTACAAGTTTGGATCTCTTTAGTTAGATAGTTACTTTCTGCAAGAAAATAATTGCACTTTGTTTGTTGTTGTTCAGTCGCACAGTCGAGTCCGACTCTTCGCGACCCCATGGACGAGCTCTCTCCAGGCCTTCCGGTCTTCTGCCGTCCTCTGAAGTTGGCTCAACTTCATGTTCGTTGCATCGATGACACTGTCTAACCATCTCATCCTTTGCCGTCCCCGTCTTCTTTGACCTTCAATCTTTCCAAGCATCAGGGTCTTCTCCAGTGAGTGCTCCCTTCTCATTTGGTGGCCAAAGTATTTGAGCTTCAGTTTCATTATCTGGCCTTCCAGGGAACAGTCAGGGTTGATTTCTTTTAGGATTGACTGATTTGATCTTCTTGCAGTCCAAGGGACTCTCAAGAGTCTTCTCCAGCACCATAGTTCAAAAGAATCTATTCTTCGGCACTCGGCCTTCCTTATAATCCAACTCTCGCAGCCATACATGACTACTGGGAATACCATTGCTTTGACCATGCGGACTTTTGTTGGCAGGGTGATGTCTCTACTTTTTATCATGCTGTTTAGGTTCGCCATCGCTTTCCTCCCAAGGAGCAGGCGTCTTTTAATTTCATGACTACTGTCACAGTCTGCAGTGATCTGGGATCCCAGGAACGTGAAGTCTGTCACTACTTCCACAGCTTCCCCTTCTATTTGCCAAGGAGTGATGGGGCCGGATGCCATGATCTTAGTTTTTTTGATGTTGAGCTTCAAGCCCACTTTTGCGCTCTCCTCTTTTACCCTGAGCAAGAGGCTCTTGAGGTCCTCTTCACTTTCTGCCATCAGAGTGGTATCGTCTGCATATCTGAGGTTGTTGATCTTTTCCCCAGCAATCTTAATTCCCGCTTGTGATTCATCCAGGCCAGCATTTCGCATGATGTACTCTGCATATATATTAAATAAGCAAGGCGACAATATACATCCTTGTCGTACTCCTTTTCCTATGCTGAACCAATCAGTTGTTCCATATCCGGTTCTAACTGTCGCTTCTTGGCCCTTATACAGGTTTCTCAAGAGACATGTGAGGTGGTCTGGTACTCCCATCTCTTTAAGGCCCTGCCATAGTTTGTTGTGATCCACACAGTCAAAAGCTTTAGCATAGTCAATGAAGCAGAAGTAGATATTTTTCTGGTACTCTCTTGCTTTCTCCATAATCCAGCGAATGTTGGCAATTTGATCTCTAGTTCCTCTACCTCTTCGAAACCCAGCTTGTACTTCTGGTAGTTCTCTATCCACGTACTGTTGAAGCCTAGCTTGTAGGATCTTGAGCATGACCTTGCTAGCGTGTGATATGAGTGCAATTGTGCGATAGTTTGAACATTCCTTGGCATTGCCCTTCTTTGGGATTGGAATGTATACTGACCTTTTCCAATCCTGTGGCCACTGTTGCGTTTTCCAAATTTGCTGGCAAATGGAGTGCAGAACTTTAACAGCATCATCTTCTAAGACTTTGAATAGCTCAACTGGAATACCATCACCTCCACTAGCTTTGTTGTTAGTAATGCTTTCTAAGGCCCATTTAACTTCACATTCCAGGATGTCTGGCTCGAGGTCAGTGATTATACCGTCGTGGTTGTCAAGGACATCGAGGTCTTTCTTGTATAGTTCTTCTGTGTATTCTTGCCATCTTTTCCTAATCTCTTCTGCTTCTGTTAGGTCCCTACCGTTTTTGTCCTTTATCATGGCCAGCTTTGCATGGAACGCTCCCTTGATTTCTCCAATTTTCTTGAAGAGATCTCTAGTCCTTCCCATTCTATTGTTTTCTTCTATTACTTTGCACTGTTCATTCAGGAAGGCCTCCTTATCTCTCCTTGCTGTTCTCTGGAAATCTGCGTTCAGTTGGGTAAATCTTTCCTTTTCGCCTTTGCCTTTCGCTTTCCTTCTTTCCTCTGCTATTTGTAAAGCCTCATCAGAAAGCCACTTTGCTTTCTTACATTTCTTTTTCTTTGGGATGGTGGTGATTGCTGCCTCCTGTACGATGTCACGAACCTCTGTCCATAGTTCTTCAGGCACTCTATCTATCAAATCCAGACCCTTGAATCTATTCTTCACCTCTACTGTATATTCATCAGGGATGCGATCTAGGTCAAACCTGAATGGCCTCGTGGTTTTCCCAATTTTCTTCAGTTTAAGTCTGAATTTTGCAATGAGTAGCTCATGATCTGAACCACAGTCAGCTCCAGGTCTTGTTTTTACTGACTGGATAGAGCTTCTCCATCTTTGACTGCAAATTATATAGTCAATCTGATTTCGGTGTTGCCCATCTGGTGATGTCCATGTGTAGAGTCGCCTCTTAGGTTGTTGGAAAAGGGTGTTCGCTATGACCAGTGTGTTCTCTTGACAAAACTCTGTTAACCTTTGCCCTGCTTCATTTTGCTTTCCAAGGCCAAACTTGTCTGTTATTCCAGTTACCTTTTGACTTCCTACTTTAGCATTCCAGTCCCCTATGATGATGAGGACATCATTTTTTGGTGTTAGTTCTAGGAGGTGTTGTAGGTCTTCATAGAACCGGTCCACTTCAGCCTCTTCTGCATCAGTGGTTGGGGCATACACTTGAATTACTGTGATGTTGAATGGTTTGCCTTGGAATCGGACAGAAATCATTCTGTCATTTTTGAGATTGTATCCCAGTACTGCCTTTTGCACTCTCTTGTTGACTATAAAGGCCACACCATTTTTTCTACGAGATTCCTGGCCACAGTAGTAGATATAATGGTCTTCTGAGTTAAATTCGCCCATTCCTGTCCACTTTAGTTCACTGATTCCTAGGATATCGATGTTCAGTCTTGCCATCTCATTTTTGACCACGTCAAGCTTACCTTGATTCATAGATCTTACATTCCAGGTTCCTATGCAGTATTGTTCTTTGCAGCATCGGACTTTCCTTTCACCATCAGACACATCCACAACTGAGCGTCCTTTCGGCTTTGGCCCAGCCGCTTCACTCTTTCTGGGGTTACTTGTACTTGTCCTCTGCTCTTCCTCAGTAGCATATTGGACACCTTCCGACCTGAGGGGCTCATCTTCCGGCGTCATATCTTTTAGCCTTTTGATACTGTCCATGGGGTTTTCTTGGCAAAAATACTGGAGTGGGTTGCCATTTCCTTCTCCAGGTGGATCACGCTTGGTCTGAGTTCTCTGCTGTGGCCTGTCCGTCTTGGGTGGCCCTTCACGGCATAGCCCACAGCTTCATTGAACTGCGCAAGCCCCCTCGCCACGACAAGTGAGTCACTGAGAGGTCGGCGGCCTCCCTCTTCCAACAGCTGGAGTGCTACATGAACAAACAGTGGATATTTCTGGGCCTGACCATGCATACTTCATAGAATGCATGGACTAGAACTAAGGGACTACAGTTCCCATGATGCAGTGAGACAATGTGCAAGCCTTCACACTCAATTTTTATAAAGAACGATGCTATAAACATGTAGAGTTATGGATGACTCCTTTCAAACCTAAGCAAAATTCATGGACCCAAGCACATTTCATTGACTCTTTTAGTGTTTCCCTAAAGCCAATCCGCAATAGCGCTATTGCAGAGAAGAGGAAGAAAAACGATGGTGACAATTTTTGGTACATGCCCCAACTGCTGTATTTTCTGGTGCTCACTGGTATCACTACCTCTCTCTGGCAATCAAGGTATGGCTGTCTATGATTCAGCCCTGTTCTTTAGCTACAGGTCAGAATAATAAGACCCACAGAGACTGTTTTCCCACCAAAGGAGGTTACTGTGATGGTGAGACATCCGACCAATTCTTGAAGGAGCCAGGGTGTGGGGAAACACTTTGCATTATGTGCTTGGTGTGTCATTGTTTGTGCTGGGAAGTGATCGGTATAGATCAGAGGGATTGGAGTGAACACTGATGAATAACACTGATTCTTCTTTTTTAAAATTAATTTTCTCAAAAAAGTGGGGTGCAAAAGGGAAGAAAGGGTAGGGGGAAATATAGATTAATCAAGTTTATCAAATATTACGAGTTGTTACATACAACAAGTAAAAATCAGAGGTATTTTCAAATGTATGACATATTCCAAATACAGAAGCAGACAATAAAACATCAACATTACAGAATTTTGGAACAGATTTCTCTCTTTAAAAGAACAAACAAGAACTTTCCTAAAGCTAGCGATCATCTATTAACAATAGACGATATTACATCTTTAACAGCTGAAGTATCTTCTACGCTAAAATCATCGTGAAAACCTGAACAATGTCTTAATTGTTTGTGTAAATCTATTTTTTTATTCTTACTGAATATTTAAATTGTCACCTTTAATAATGGGTAACGCTAATTCTTTTCGCCTGCAGCTTAGGTGCATCAGGGATGTCCCTACGTTCAATGAAGAGGCATTCTATCTAAGGTGCACAGAGTACCTGGCGGCCAATCACATCTCTGACAGTCCTGGTAAGTCTTACGGCCACGTCAAACATTCTGACGAGCAGAACTGTCTGTGTCCTTCTGAAGGCCCCTTACTCTCTGTCCACACCATTTTCCTATTTAGTTGGGCTACTCTGAACGCAACTCTGAAGTAAGGACGGTTCATAGAGCCAGTAGCCCTGTCCTGTCACAGTAGACTTCCCCGTAGAACCCAGGGACTCCACGGCAGAGTAGGGAATGAGGAGATTTCGCAATATACTTGCAAGGCACCCACATGACATGACAAAACAGCAGTCAGCTAAGGTAGATGAAGGTGGGTAGCCGTGTTGGTCTGAAGCAGCAGAACAAAGTTTTGAGTCCAGTGGCCCCTTGAAGACCATGCAGCAGAACAAAGTTTGAAGCGTGCATGCTCACAAAAGCTTATGCCAGAAATAAAACTTTGTTAGTTTTAAAGAAGAGAAGAAGAAGAGATTGGATTTATACTCCACCCTTCACTTGGGAGTCTCAGAGCGACTTACAATCTCCTTTCCCTTCCTCTCCCCACGACAGACACCCTGTGAGGTAGGTGGGGCTGAGAGCAATGTTCCCTCTAAGCTGTGGAATCTTGTGAGCAAAAATTCAACTTTGTGAGCAACTGGCATTAAAGTTGTGAGCGAATGACTTGGCTACTAGATAAATGTTTACTTTGGAGCCATCCTTTCTGAGCTAAGACAAAAATGTGTGAGCCGGAGGCTAAAAAACTGTGAGCTAGCTCACACTAACTCAGCTTAGGGGGAACATTGGAGCCTGAGAGAGCTCTGAGAGAACTTGTAACTGACCCAAGGTCACCCAGCTGGCTGCACTTGGAGGAATGGGGAATCAAACCCGGTTCTCCCAGATTAGAGTCCGCCACTTTTAACCACTACACCAAGCTGGTCCGGGTGCCACTGGACTCAAACTTTGTTCATCAATAAACAAAGTAATTTAAATTTGTACATTGAGCAGATGGGCAATAGGATGAAGGATGGAGGTTTGGTCTCTTCACCCATTATATATGGGGGACTGTCCCAGAGAGGCACTATCTGGGGAAACTCACATGCTTCCAGGGATACGTGTGGGTTTCCCTAATAAATCCAATGGTGTTCCCGTCCTCTCATGCCCTGGTTCTGTTTACGGCTGGGAAATTGGCCTGGGGGAAGGTTGAAGTCGCTTCTCTGCCTACATCACAGTCCTGATACTAATCAAGCACTGCATGTGCAGGGATTGAGAACTCACAACTTGTCTAAGATAGTGTTATGTCTGACACAAGGTTGGGATGCTGCATCAACCTTTGGCCTCCATAATACGTGAAGGCACAGTTCAGGTTAAGTTGAACAAGCCAGATACTGGGGGAAGAGGTAAAGAGTGATGGTCATTTGGTACCATACAGCCCAACCAATGTTCTCTGTAAGCTGTGGAGTCTTGTGAGCAAAAATTCTACTTTGTGAGCTACTGGCATTAAAGTTGGGAGCGAGCAATTTGGCTACTGCGTACATTAGTTTGCTCTGGAGCCAACCTTCCTGAGCGAAGATTAAAAACTGAGCTGGAGGCTAAAAAACTGTGAGCTTGCTCACACTAACTCAGTTTAGAAGGAACACCCAACCAATGTTTCCTCTAAGCTGTGGAGTCTTGTGAGCAAAAATTCTACTTTGTGAGCTACTGGCATCAAAGTTGTGAGTGAGCAATTTGGCTGCTGCATAAATTAGTTGCTCTGGAGCCCTCCTTCCTGAGCTAAGACAAAAATGTGTGAGCCAGAGGCTAAAAAACTGTGAGCGAGCTCACACTAACTCAGCTTAGCAGGAACACTGCACCCAGCCCCTTCAAGAGAAGGCCGGACGTGTAAAGGACAATTTAATTTGCTTTGACAATTACTGAAAAGCTAATGTAATTAGGTGAAAGTTAATTAAGAGAAAATAATAGTAGAAGAAAGTGTTACGGATAGACTATGATTAAAAGATAAGTGGAAAATAGAAAAGAACTAAGAAATGGGCTGGAGGTTGAAGCACTGTGGGAAGGCAGAGGGGGGCGGAAAGAGGAGAAAGGATGTATAATAAACAAGAATATGTTGTGTGTGGGACGTCTTCCCACCACCACCAAATTCCTCTTCTCCAATAACATTGTGGCTGTCCTGTATAGCCCAGTACAAAACGTCAGGTGCTAAGCTGGAACCAGCATCACCCCCAGCTCTGAACATTCAACCGCATTCAGACTTGAACACAGGAAGCTGCCTGATACTGAATCAGACCCTGGGTCCATCAAAGTCAGTACTGTCCACTCAGCCCGGCAGTGGCTCTCCAGGGTCTCTGGCTGAAGTCTTTCACATCACCTCCGACCTGATCCTTGCTACTGGAGATGCTGGGGATTGAACCTGCAGTCTTCTGCATCCCGAGCAGATGCCTCTGCTGGTAAGCTATAGCCCCTCCCCAACCACCAGTCACTGTGTGCCAGTAGACTTGCCACTGACTGGGTGAGCCAAGAACTCTACAGGACCGACTCTCCCCATATGTTCCCCAGAGAGCCCTGTGTTCCTCTTAACAGCACCTTCTGGTGGTCCCGAGCCCCAAAGACACCCGTTTAGCCTCAACCAGGGCCCAGGGCCACCCTAGGAGCAGTGAATGAGTATATTCTTTATACTTTAATTTTTCATGAAATCTGAATGTATCTCACAATGAATATTGTGCCAGGTTTTTTTAATGCAAACGTCGCAGTTCCGTTACCTGTCAGTGCTGAGCAGAAAGACTTTCACCTTACAGGTCACAGGCAAGAAGTTGTATAATAATATCAGAAGAGAATCTCTTTCCTGCTTCAGTCCTGTGCTGTTATCTGCGGCCCCTTTTCTCATTCGAAACCTCCTCTTCCCATCCCTAGATATCCTGAGAAAAGCCTCAGTACTGGCTCCAAAAGAGGAACTTGAGAAAAATCTGAGGAAATTTGTGACAAGGAACGTCTTGAAGAAGGTACTCCCGTAAGAGTCTGAACCACTCTTTTTAAAAGAGTGTTCGTGAAGCGTTAAAGATAGTGGTGTGATGGAATAGAGAAGCCTCTTCCTCCCTAGGATCACAGGAGGTGGAGAGAGATTGCCCTTGGGTTTTTTTCCAGATCGACGATGATCAGCCGCTGGAGTACTTATCGGAGCTGCGCCCCGTGGCCATCGTCTTTGTAAACTTGCAGTTCCATGGCAGTGCCAACATATATCACTTGACAAAGGCCATTCAGGATGCCAATAACTTTATCACAGGAACGGTACACCCTTTCAGAGGCAAGATCAACAAGATCTTCATGTTTGACAAAGTAAGTGTTGTTTTTTTCCTGAATTCAGGGGTTGATTCGACTCCTGGGGACAGCAGACGTTTTGGTGATGGTCCTGAAGGGATTTGTCACTGGTTGTCACACCCCACCCCCTTCCTAATTTCTTGCAGCAGCTAAGTAAGACATTCTGAACTGGTGTGACATCTCCCGCATCACTCCGCCAAAGGGCAGGATTGATTCCTTTAAGGGGGTGTACTCTTGGGCAGCATAATTTAGAAGATAACGTTGACCGTGAAGATGACATGAGGGGCAGTGGAGTTTTCTTATAATAAAAGGGGGTGGGACAGGAGAAGGGGAGAGCAGTCTGGACTGGAGACTTCGGGTTTGAGGCAGACAGGAAAATTAGGAGGGAGGAAAGTTTAGAATCCTCTGTAGGGACCTGGCAACCTTGATCCTTCCTCTGCAATGTTGGCTGGAAGTTCCCGATCAACCTCCAAAATGGTCACCAACATCTTAAAATACAGTTTTGCAGTATCTCAGTGACAGGGTTGCCAACCTCCAGGTGGGATCTGGAGATGTCTTGGAATTACAACTAATCTCCTGATCGATTCCCCTGGAGACAATGGCTGCTCTGGACGGTGGACTCCAGGGGTCATTTCCTGCAGGAGCTCACAGGAGCGGAGCTCCGGCAGTAAGGAGCCCAGGGGGTAGGCATATGCAACAAGCCCCGCCCCCTGCTCCCAGCAGCCCTCAGTTGGGCCACGAGGAACAAGAAGCAGCCAGGTAAGTTCCAGAGCCCCCCCCCCGACCCGCCTTCAAGTACAAGCTCTCCCTCCTCTGCGAGGGCAGATCTGTTCCCCCCCCCATAGCTAGCAATCACCGGGGGAACCCCGCCCCCGGCGTGCGCGTCACTAGCAAGTGACGTGGGCACGCCGGGCATGCTGGGGGCGGGGCCACGGCCATACAAGGGAAAACGCCGTGCCCCCGCCCCCAGCGTGCCTGGCGTCCTCCAGTCACTTCCGGGTGACGTGTGTGCGGCGTGCGTGCACACACAAGACGCCAGCCGGGAGCCCCCCGCTTCCGGCGAAGATACACTTGGCAACCCTACACACTTCCAGTGATGTCAGGGGGTGTGGCATATGCAAATAGGTTATGCTAATGAGTTATGCTAATGAGCTCTTTTTCTACGAAATGACACCTATGGCATTCTATCCCACTGAGCTCCCTCCCCTCCTGAAACCCCTCCATCCCTAGGTTCCTCCCACAAATATCCAGGAATTTTCCAGCTCAGAGGTGGCAACCCGACCCAATGGCCTTCTTTTCTTAAAGAAAGAGATACTGCTTTTACCATTGTAGGGTATTTAAACCCTACAATGTATTTGTGTTTTTATATTTTATGTTTTCCTGGGATGGTGCTCTCTCTGGCACAGCTTTTGGGACACCCCATTCTAATTTATTTATTTTTTACTTACTTGCTTCCTTTATACCCCATCCTCAATGGGGACCAGAAGTGGATTACATCATTGTCCTCTCCTCCATTTCCTCTTCACAACAACCCTGTGAGGTAGGGTCAGGCTGAGAGAATATGACTGCTCTGCGGGGGGGGGCCCCCAACAACCTCCCATTCTCAGCTCTTAGTCTCCAATCAGCAAGTTACTCCAGAGGGAGCGGGTTATAAATTTAATAAATCAATCAATAGATGTCCTTATCATTTGCCCTCTGCAGCATCTGTCCCCTCTGGACCCTCCAATGATTTCTAGGACTGGAGTTAAAAGCAATTTGCAGTTTGGCACAAGAGACCTGTTGGAGAGGAAAATAACAGAATGATGCCATATTTGTGAGCTACCGGTTGTTAGTGCATTGTTCACACTGGATCCCATCTTTGGGTACAGCGTTTAAACCTACGGATTTGGATCAAGATGGGTAGCCGTGTTCGTCTGTCTGTAGCAGTAGAAAAGAGCAAGAGTCCAATAGCACCTTAAAGACTAACAAAATATGTGGCACGGGAGTTGCTTTCGTGAGTCACTGAAGAAGTGAGCAGTGATTCATGAAAGCTCAAACCCTGCCAGGCTGCCACATATTTTGTTAGTCCTTCAAGGGCTACTGGACTCTTGCAATGGATTTGGATTACTGAAAAAAGGAAAATCAGTGGCAATATTAATGGCCAGCCAGCTTTAATGTTTCCTTGGGCTGCATCCGCATGATCCCCTTTGTCCAGTATAGCTGTCCATATAAATCTGGCTCCTGAACACAGCTTTCGCAGACAGTACATAGCTGCTCTTTGAGTCAGCTCTTTCTTATTGTTTCTTTCTCTCCTCTACCTCTACCTCTCCCCTAGGGCTGCACTTTCCTTTGCGTTTTCGGTCTCCCTGGAGATAAACAGCCGAATGAAAGCTCGCAGGCCCTTGAGTGCGCCTATAAAATCCACAAGTTCTGCGCCGTCTCTCTCATGAAAATAAAGTAAGTCAATCCAGTAAGACAGTAACCTGCTTTGAATGATCACGACCTCAGCTATGTTCACCCGACACCAGTATGCTTTTGTGACCCCTGCTAGATATTTGGCAGTCACACATTGTTGAGATCACTGGCTGGTGAATTCCTGGGGTCCAGGTAGAATGGTGGCCATCCAACCATAGCGATGACCTGGTATGCTCCAGTGATCCACAAACCGTGGAACGGAACCCCAAAGTTCCCAAGAGCACTTCGGTCCGGGGCACAACATCGGCTGGTGGTTCCCCAGGAGGCAAGGCTCGCCATGACTAGGGCCAGATCCTTTTCAGTGGCGGCCCCTACCTGGTGGAACGAGCTCCCGGAGGAGATCAGGGCCCTGCGGGACCTTATGCAGTTCCGCAGGGCCTGTAAGACAGAGCTCTTCCACCAGGCTTTCACATAGGGGCCGCCACTACCACCGCCACCAATGCGGTGGACAACATCGGGGTTAAGGATGGCCCGGGAAGATCCGCCACAATTTCTGTGTGACTGATACCACTGGATTTACCTGGTTAGGATACGCTATAGGTTAACATCATCCCTGGAGAACTGTCTGTTTACCATCTGGCACGTATCTGGAGACCATCTTGTTTTTAAATTGAGTACAACTGTTATTCATGTTTCATTGTTTTTATCTGTTTTATGTGGGCTTTGCCCCTTGTAAGCCGCCCTGAGCCCGCTCCGTGGGGAGGGCGGGGTAAAAATCTTAATAAATAAATAAATAAACAAAGTGAATTGCAACTTTGTTTGCAGGCAGGTCACGAGGCCAGCAGGGAGAAAGAGGGAGCAGGCGCTCTGGGGCAACTTGATGGCAGATTTGGGTTTCCCTCTGTACAATGCATAGAACAGCCACGGAAGAGCCCTATTGCTCAAGAATGCTTCTCCCGACCTTTCGATTTCACAACTTTATCAAAGATTTGAGACGTTTGTTTGAAAAGATCAATCCGCCTGCCTTAGCTTTTAAAAAATGTTTTAACCATCAAAGCGTGTTAATCATTATTTGTCTAAGGAATATGTATTTATGACTTTGGCATGGCGAAATGGGTGTTGCTCCCCTAATTATTTGGTTGTGTACAGATGTGAAGGGCCAGGGGAGGAAATGGAAAATTTGCAACAGGGATAGGGTCCAGGGCTCTTTTTGTAGCAGGAACTCCTTTGCATATTAGGAGACATGCCCCTAATGTAGGCAATCCTCCAAGAGCTCACAGAGCTCTTCTTATAGGGGCTACTGTAAGCTCTTGGAGGACTGGCTACATTAGGGGTGTGTTGCCTAATTTAATTCCTGCTAAAAAAAGAGAGCCCTGGGGTTACCAGTTCAGGGTTAGAAAATACCTGGAGATTTGATGGGTGGAGCCTGAGGAGGGCAGGGCTTGGGGAGGGGAGGGGAGGGACTTCGATGGGGTACAATGCCAGAGAGTCCACCTTCCAAAGTGGCCATTTCCTCGAGATGAACTGATCTCTGTTACCTGGAGATCAGTTATAACCCCAGGAGATCTCCAGCCACCACTGGGAGGCTGGCGATCCTAAGGGGGACAGGGTTTTTCCCCCAAGGCCTTTTTTCCCCAATTTTTCTAATGGAAAAAATTGGAGATTTGGGGGTTCGAGACCCAAGTTGCCGCATGACGGACTGAGCTCCCGTCTCTAGTTCCAGCTCCTGCCAACCTAGCAGTTCGAAAGCAAGAAATTGCAAGTAGATAAATAGGTACCACTTCGGTGGGAAGGTAACAGCGTTCCGTGCGCCTTGGTGTTTAGTCATGCCGGCCACATGACCACGGAAACTTCTTCGGACAGCGCTGGCTCTTCGGCTTGGAAACGGAGATGAGCACCCCAACCCCAGAGTCGGATTCGACTGGCTGTCGAGCAAGGGAACCTTTACCTTTACCTTAAAATTAAATCCTATCAAATATTTTCTCTTTTAAAATGTGTGAAATGCTTGTGGGCATGCCCTAGACACATACAGCTCTTCCAGATGTGCTTCTGCACCTAAAAGGATACCTAATCTTCATGAGGAAAGCATACAAGGCTTTCATGGCTTCCCACATTGTGCATGCATTCTGTTGTCCTTTCGACCTGTATCTTTTCACCTCTTCTTCAAACCACTGTGAAACCTGTACCCACAGACTGGGTAACAAGTAGGTTATTGCCCTAAGGTAGCCTAGGGTTCATCGGCTTGCAATTTTCTCTCACGTTTTGGGTATGTTTTCAATTTTGCTTGTAGAAAACTAACATCAGTCACTCCTAAAGTGCAAAGATATATCAAATATTGCAGTTTTATAAGCTAAGTAAGTTATAAATGATGCATTTCGTTAAAGCAGTAAAATTAGTTTAGGTCTGATAGGACAGTAAGTATGGCATACATTTCAATTTCCCCAAAAACTTCTAGTTTTTTCCTAAGGAAAAACTTTTCTCCTTGGTGCCCTGGGTTAATGACTGATTTATGACAGTCACCAAGGGCTCATATATATGGTTTTTACATGACTTTAGCAGCCAGGATGGGCAAGGGTCCAGTGCACACGTGGTTGCCTTCACCAGTCCCAGGATACTGTCAATAACCATCACAGTAACTAGGTCAAAATGGTCCATAATCAAACTGGATGATATATTAGTCATTCAATATGTTTGTTCTCAACTCTGTACTTTCAGCACAGTGCTGGGGGACGTTCCAAGGTTTATTTCCTTTCACCCTGCTGGCATCATGCTCCTCCTCTGTTTGCGTTCTAGGGTCGTCTCCATTGGGGTCACCAGTGGGCCAGTATTCTGTGGAGTAGTTGGCCATCATGTGCGACATGAATATACAGGTACAACCATTGTGGGCTGTCTCCTTTTTCACCATCCAAGTCAGCCTTTGGACATTGTAGAAAGATTATCCCCCACCTGAAATCCTGTAGCTTCACGGGTTTGGTGTAGTGGTTAGGAGCGTGGACTCTAATATGGGAGATTCCCCACTCCTCCACATGCAGCTGCGGCTTCCCAAGTACTTACCGTGATTCGGCGGGGGACACAGACGTCTTCGCAGGATCATTCCCGCAGGGACAACAGATGCGTTGCACCATGCCGTCGCCAGGAAGCGATGCTGGGTGACGCTCTGGCAATGGGGCTCGAAACTCGATGGTACCATCGAGTTTTCAGCCCCATTGCCAGAGCGTCACCCAGCGTCACTTCCTGGCGATGACATGCTGTGTTACAAGGAGGAATGGTCCGGCCGGGGAGCATGTTTCCCCCACTGGATTGCGGTAAGTACTTGGGAACCCTATGCTGGTGTGACCTTGGGTAGGTTACAAGTTCTTTCAAAACTGTTCTCTCAGGAGCAGTTCCCTCAGAGCTCTCTCAGCCCCGTCTACCTCACAGAGTGTCCGTTGTGGGGAGGGGAAGGGAAAGGAGATTGTAAGCAGCTCTGAGACGCCTTCGGGCAGAGAAGGGTGGGATATAAATCCATTATCTTCTTCTTCATTCATTCATCCGTCTAGGCCTATGTTTCATCAA